GCAGTTATCCCCTAGTACAGGAAGAAGAGACAAACGTGGGTTCCTGGCAATGGCGGAAGGTCAGAGACAGCAAGCACCAGTGTGCAAGCCCTGTTTCCAGCCTCTGATTGCATCCCACGGGCTATCATCCCACTGACCGCCGCAAGTCATATGTTTGATCCCAGACTCAAGAAAAGGGGCCGTCCTCCCGCCCGCGGTGGGAGGGCACTGCAAAATCACCTGCCAAAGGGCATGGGTACCGGGAAGGTGAAAGTGTGGGGGCCAAACGAAGGATCTGCCACACGCTAACCTGATTTTCCACTGGAGAATACCCTCTGTCGTTCAACTACTTTAGGTGGGGCTCCGCCCCCAGCTCAGGGGTGGAGCATGTGGTGAGGCTTCAGCCAATCAGAGAACCGCATTGCCCTGGCCGTGGTGATTGAATCAGCGATAGGTACAGCGTCCCATCAGAAGCAAGCAAGCGCAGCGCAAGCGCCAAGCGGGACAGGACGGCCGAGAAAGGGACTATCGCTTCCTTCTGCTGCGCCGCAGACAGAGGATGCGAGTCGGGGCGGCTGGCAGCTGTCCTACACCACAAGGAGAGAGGAGGAAGTCCAGGAATAAGTCTACCCAGAGGAAGCAGAGCAGATGAGAGAGAAACCTGTCCTAGTGTCAAAGTTGAAGCCTTTGAAGTTAGTTCTACTTTCGGACTTTTCTTTTTCAAATCAGCCAGTCTTGGCTGGGTTTTCTGTCATTTGGGACCAGATGGGCCCAGAGGAATACACACGTAATCTCAGTCTCAGAAGCGAGCATCTAGTCCCAGCAGGGCTCAGTGGCTTCTAGGGATCGAGGTCACTTGTGTTGGTCAGGAGCTGCTATAGGGCGGGACCCCATAGATCCTGGTGGCTTCAGGGATCTTACAGATTAGATTTCTCTGGGTACCAGTCAGAATTCCTTTACTGGCAAGCAACAGACACCAAACTTAAATGGATTTGTGAGACTATTTTGACTTATGTAACTGAAAAACCCATTTAGATCTGATTTCAGTCATGGCCTGTGCTCAGATAATGTCATCAGACTCCATCTCTTGGCCCTGCTTCAGTCACTTTGTGTAGGTTTCATGCTTGGCCAGAATCTCCCCAAGTGGTGGCAAAGATGGGCATCAGCCGGTCCAGGCTTACATCCCACAAGCTTAGCAACTCTCATAAGAAGAGAACACTTTTTCCCCTAATGGGTGTAGAAAAAGGCCAGCAGCTGCCTAGTTCGGGTTCTATGTCCATGCTGGAGCCATATGCTATGGCTCAGGGGATGGAATGTGCTGGTTGACCAGACATGGCTCATGTGGCCACCCTATGGAGCCAAAGGGTGGAGTCAGCCCCACCTGAACCACATGGATCAACAACATGGAAGGGAAAGTGGGGGCGTTGTCACCTAAAGAAAGGGGAGACAGTGGGTGCTGAACAGCCAAAACTAGCAGACATCCACTACGTCTTCTATTATTCTTAGCATCCCATGGTCCTTATCACAACTGTAAATATAGCCCCAAATCCTCCACCTTCTGCTGTCACCCTCCGTGTACGTTTAACATCGGAACAGAATGACTTGAGCCCCCTTACCACATGCTAAGGACAACCAAGTCTTTCACAATCTCTCTGAGGATTCCCAAATTGGGGCTCACTGTCTCGAGTGAGGCCGTGCCCAGCCTACTTCTTTGTGTTTTCTTAGCTTTTTTTTTTTTTTTTTAAAGATTTTATTTTTTTCCTTTTTCTCCCCAAAGCCCCCTGGTACATAGTTGTATATTCTTCGTTGTGGGTCCTTCTAGTTGTGGCATGTGGGACACTGCCTCAGCGTGGTTTGATGAGCAGTGCCATGTCCGCGCCCAGGATTCGAACCAACGAAACACTGGGCCGCCTGCAGCGGAGCGTGCGAACTTAACCACTTGGCCACGGGGCCAGCCCCCTTAGCTTTTTTTTTTTTTTTTTTAAGATTATTTTTTCCTTCTTCTCCCCAAAACCCGCCAGTACTTAGTTGTATATTTTAGTTGTGGGTCCTTCCAGTTGTGGCATGTGGGACGCCACCTCGGCATGGCTTGAGCGGTGCTAGGTCCACACCCAGGATCCAAACCTGCAAAACCCTGGGCCGCTGGAGTGGAGCACGAGAACTTAACCACTCGGCCACAGGGCCAGCCCCTCTTCTTAGCTTTCTTGAGGGTATAACTGACAAATAAAAATTGTATACATTTAAGGTGTACAACTTGATGTTTTTATATATGTGTGTATCATGACATGATCACCACAATCAAGCTAATTAATATATCCATCACCTTACATGGCTAGAATTTTTTTGTGTGTGGTGAGAACGCTTGAGATATCCTTTCTTAGCAAATTTCAAGTATACAACACGGAAGGTTAATTAGATAGCCTCCTTCTTGGCTGTCCCTGTATGCTCATGGCCTCTGGAGCCACCAGCCTATTTCTGCCCTCCTTTGGCTCCAAATGGAAAACCCTGCATCCCTGCATTGCCCCAAAGCTCCAATAACCCAAGGCTGGGTGGTGAACATTCTCCTCCCCTCAGCTGCCAGTAAATATCTCTAAATTATTTTTCTTATGCCCACATTTCCACCCTGAACCAGGCGCTAGATGGGTGGGAAGGGCTTTATGGTTTGAGAGAAAGAGATGCCATTTGAGGACGCTCTCCCTTGGTGGTGTAACTTGATTAGACATCTTTCACCCTGTGGGAAGGGTATCATGGGACCTTTGAGGTTGCCCCTTCCAACACCCTTATCTTGGCATGCTTAGCTGTCACTTGTGAGGAGTTGGGAAATTTGCAGAGGGCTCAAGGAGTGTCTTGGGGAAAAAAGGAATCAAGAATACAGTCCCTTCTCTTCTGAAGTCCAGTGTTATAGGAACCTTTTTGATGGACTGAGTCAGTCTAGACTGAAGACCATGGGCAGAAAAGGACACTAAGTGCCCTCGAGAAAGAACTCGCTATGGTCAAGGGGAGATGACCCAGACTAAAGGGAGGGACCTAGGGGGTTAAAGAGGTTAGTCTGGTTCTAAAACGTGTGTGTGGGAGGCTGGAAATCTTTCTGGTCAAGCCCCTGTGGCCTGGCAGGACGATGGCTTTATCACCTCGGAGGATGCATGAGTTCGACGGCCATGTTGAGCCGCAGGCAGAAGCAACAACAGCGGAAAGCCAAGGCCCCCTAGCGGTGCGTGCTGACCTTCTCTGACACATTGGGAGTTATGAAGAGCTGATACCTGTGCACCAAGGGGGAACCAGGGATAGTTTGCATTTGTAGATTTCCCCTCCACCCCTTAACAATTCACTAAAGTGTTCTGTTAAGTAAAGGGATTGCTGCCCCTAGGTATCCACCCTTATCATTGCAGGCAAGTGGCAGACATTTCCAAATGACAGTTTCCATCAAATTCTTGGATAGGAGTGCTTCCCCCTCTGATCTAGTCTGGGTGGAATTTTTTTCTTCTTCTTTTCTTATTTTTTTCTCACTCTTTTTTTACTTTCTGCCGTCCATTTCATAGTTAATTATATAACCTATTTGATGTCTGTTTTCTTCTTTAGAAAGTAAGCTGCAGGGGATGGGGATTGCCTTGTTTATTGCTGTGTCCTCAGCCCCTAAACAGCATTGGGCATTCATTCATTCGAAACATCGTTTTGGAGTGCCTGTCATGTGCCTGGCCCTGTACTAGGTATGGGGGGTGGGGAGGGGAGTAGCAGTTTGCCAAACACCGATCTGTTCTGGAACCTACAGTGTGGTGGGGAGAGATGAGAACTCACACGTACACGGTACTGCGAGTAGTGATGAGGGCTCAGTGGACAATGAAGCAGGGTCGGGGAGTCTGCTCCAGGAGCGTTCTCTGGTCTGCTGACATCTGAGCAGGGACCTGAAGGAGAAAGGGACGGGGTTCAAGGGAGACCTGGGACAGTCCAAGACGAGGGTACAGGCCCTGAGGGAAGAGCATGCTCGGCTCTCCTAGAGGCCAGTGTGGCCTGAAGGCAGTGCAGGCAAGGCCAGACGATGAGGCCGGGACCTTGGAGGCCACTGTAAGGACTCTAGCTTTGATGTGGTAGAATAGGGAGCTGGTGCAGGGTTTCGAACCGAGAGATCTTATCTGTGAGAAGACTCACTCTGGCTGCTGTACTGAGAAGCCTGAAGAGGCTCAGGAGAGGGAGCCGGGTGAGCAGCCAGGAGCCACTGCAATAAGCCAGGCGAGGGATGACTGCACTGGGGTGAGAGTGCTCAGGGTCTGGGTAGACCTGTATTTGAAGGCAGAGACAACAGAATTGTTCTGTTGACACAAGTAGGTAATTAACAAATGTTTGCTGAATGAATGTTGAATCATGACACTCCCTACAGCCACCCACTGCTTTAGAACTTCCTCTCTGTGTGTTGCCTCAGTCTGCAGCCTCTTCCTACCCGGATATGCCCCGATGCCAAGGGAACTCTGAATCCTCGGGTCTCCATCTTTGGGGAGCTCCCAGCTCCTCCAAACCTGATGAGCTTCCCAGTTGTATCCTTCCCCAGCACCTGGCCTTGTAGATGGGTAATGTCTCTCTCCATCATTAGATTGCTAGCTGCCCGAGGACAGGGGCCTCATCTGTCCTGCTCACTGCTGTCCCTCTGGTCCCTAGTAGGAAGCCCGGTACACAGAATGTGCTCGGTAAATATTTCCTGACTGGTGACTGCATGAATCGGCATACTCTGTTCCTCTGGGCTTCTGCTTCTATTTCCTGCCCAATCTGAAGGGCTCCAAGCTGACGCTGGCCTCTAGGCCAGGCACAACTCCCTGCCCCGTCCCCCAGAACCTGGTTCCTTATTCCCTTTACACTCAAGCCCTGGCCTGGGCCTACTCTAGGCCTGAGAGGTCACAGGAGGCCTGGAGTAGCTGCCCTTAGACTCCGCAGATCCCACTTTAGAACATCCGTCAAGTTTTCAGTTTCTAGAGTGATTCTGTGTGCCCACCTTCCTACCCTGTAGCTGAGACAAGACAGCCACCCAGTGGTAATTTTTCTAAACTTTTGTTTATTTTATAGCAATTGTCATTAGAGAAGTAAATAACACATTTAAAAACCTTCTCAGGGCCAAAGGGTGCCAGAGTATTTACAAACACATGGTGGGGAATGGTGGCAATACACGAGGGGCTGGGATTCCAGCCAAGCCCTGAACCGGGCTTGGACTCTGATGCCAGCTACCAGGGCTGTCCTACCGGCCACAGCGTGGGCTCAGGGAGCATCGGTGGGCCCGGTGGGAGACCCTCTGGTTAACCTGTAGCCATGCCTCCTGCCCAGGGGGCTCCCTATACCCCACAGGCCAGCTCAGCGGGGCCTCTGGGAAGCACCAAAGGACAGGGGGCAGTGTGGAGGGCACAGGGCTGGAACAGAGGTTGGGGATGACCCGGCCTGCCCAGGGTGGGACACACACACAACATCACACACACACATACACCTTCACAGAGAATCACAAAGGGGGAGTTTTTCTGTGTGAGATTTTTATCGTCTAAGTCTTCATGTTTACAGTGTTATTAATTTTTTGCTATTTATTTCTTGTTTCTTCGACAGTGACATAAACTGAGGTAAACTTCTGTGACCAACACCTCTCCTAAGGGGCAAAGGGTCCCAACCCGACCAGCAGAGGTGAGGCAGCAGCAGTGGGCCCAGACAGCGAAGGAGCAGACCTGGTTCTAGTTGGCCGTCACTGCTCCACTGTGCCTCTGACAACAGGGGCTGGACTACAGAACTACGGGCCCTTCCCAATTCTAACATCCTAGCTACTACGACAAGGGAGAAACTCCCACACAGGGTCTTAACAGAGACAGAGAGAGAGGGTGCGCGGCCAGGGATGTCTACTTGGAATCTCGCTTCCTTGTTATTGCAGGAGAGATAGGATGTCGAGAGGCCTAAGGCAAAAGGAGAAGTCGCGTCTGGGAGAGGCGCCCAGATGGGCTCAGGATGAGCTCCAGGGGAGCCTGGGGCAGTGATGGGGGGCCTTCGCAGAGACTTGGCCCTTGGTGGGAGGAGGGGTTTGCTACTTACCTGGCGTGTGAAGAGCCCCAATGCCCCTGGGGAGGGGGGTCTCCAGAGGGGAGGGCACTCCAAGGAGAGGGGTCCAGGCTCTGGGACAACCGCACAGTTTGTAAACTGGGCCCGGGCAAGGCAGGGGGACCTATAGCCCTTTTGCGCGGTGGGAATGAGAGGCGAGTAGAGGGGGGGGGGGCTCTGGGCCAGAGAGTGGTCAGGGCCCCCTCTAGTCAGCCTGGCCTATCAGGGAGCACCCTCAAATGGCCTAGAACCCCAGGAGGGACCCTGACAGATGTGGCCTGGGATGGTGGATGGGGCACTGCCAGGCAGAGGGAGCAGCCTCACCCATGCTGAGGTTATTGCGGGGTCCCAGGCCTCCACAGAGAGGGCAGGGGTCATGAGGGGGCGCTGGGTGAGTCTGTGTTGCTGCCTAAGAGCCTGAACCAACCTGTAGGTGCCTCCCTGCCGGGTTCCCTGAGGGGTGTGGTGAAATGCAGGCCTGGACGCCCTCTGGCAGCCGCCTGGAGAGAATCCTGGGGCCGGGCAGAGTTGCGGAGGTGTCTGGATGCAGTCACAACACACAAGGCTCCACGCACACACGTGCACTCTACTGGCGCGCACACCACACACACACCTTTCACACATTCACCCCCTCACATTCCCACGCCCCCGTTCTCATACCCACAGCGGCACACTCCAGTGCCAGAAACTTGGGAGGCAGGGGGTGGGGTCAGCCTGAGGCTGACATGTTCGACTCCAGCAGAAACCCAGGAGGAACTCCTGGCACAGATCACCTCCCTGCCTGCCAGAAGCCCCTGTGTCGGGCCGAGGTGGTGAGGACCTGAGAGGTCTCCTGGGTCTGGAAAAGGTGCGGCCATAAGGGGAGGCTGGGCCATCCCTGGGCTCTGCACTCACTCCCCCGCCCTAGGGATGCAGTGCAGCTGAGGCTCCTGCCCTGGGGGCCCCTCTGTGTGGAGCTGTCTGGGGGGGGACAATCCCTGGGGAGCAGGGGGACGCTACTAGAGCCCCACCTCTCAGCAGCTGTGTGGCCCCAGGCAAGTTGCCTCCTGGCAGGCTCAGTGTCCTCATCAGGGGAATGGGCTGTGGGGTCACTGGATTCTCGGGGGCCTGTGCCTGCACACTCTTCTGCAACACCCAGACATCTGCTACATTTTGCAGGGGGCTTGGCCTCTCCCCTCCAGCCTCCTAGGAAAGGGGCAGGACGCAGCTGAGCAACACCCCTGCCCTCAGCACCTCGCCCTCCTCCCAGCCAGTGCCTCAGGCCCTAAGCCCCTTCTCTGCCCCAATACTTCAGTTCCCTTCTGTGCCCAGGGTGGAGTGGGGGGCGGGGTGGGGTGCCAGGAGGGCAGGACCGGGGGCGGGGCTGCGGGGTGATCTGCCAGGGGGTGCAAAAGGCTAGGAGCAACTAGTAAGGGTTCAGGGTTCAGGGAGATGTCAGGTAGTCTGCCCGCAAGCTCCTAGGTATCAGGGGGGCCTCTGAATCCTCAGGTCTGTGGGGCTTGGCTCCTCTGGGCCAAGCCCCTGCTCCACAGGCCGGGCAAGAGGTCTTTTGGTGGCTATTTCACCAGCCCGCCGCTGACCAGGCGCCTGGGCCGGCGGTCCAGCCTAGTCTACCACTACTCCCTCCCGCCGCCGCCGCCGCCGCCGGGTGGGGGGAGGGCGCTGCTCACGAGGGCTGCTCGGTTTGGCCGCGGCCGCCACCCCGGCTTGGAGCGGGCCCAGCGCGGCTCCCCGCGCCCGGCCTGGCTGCGTGCACGGCGCCCCGGCCCGAGGGCGGCGGGGGCGGCTCAGACGCAGATCTCGATGGCCGTGGCCAGCACCACCTGCCCTTTGCTCTTGTCCGGGCGGCCGTCGGTCCTGCCCGGGGGCCCAGGGGGCGCCAGGCCGGCGTCGGGCACGGGGACGGGGACGGGCACGGGCACGGGCCCGACGGCGGGGGCCGCGGCCCGGGAGCCGCTGCCGCTCTCGGTCAGCACCGTCCGCTTGAGCGGCGCGGGCGCCTCGAGGCGCAGCGGCCCGGCGGCCGGCAGACGGTCCCCGGCGGCGGGCTTGCGCGCGCGGTGCGAGGGCCGGCGCCGCAGCTCGGACGTGAGCTCGTGCTTGAGGAAGCGGAAGACCTCCTTGGCCGGCCCGCGGCGCTCGGGCTCGAGAGCCAGGAGCCGCTGGAACATGCGCAGCGCCGGCTCGGTGAAGCGGCGCCACTGCGACGGCAGCCCCGGCAGGCGGCCCCGCTGCCAGCGCACGAACTCCTCGAAGAAGGCGTCGGCGCCCGAGGCCGCCTCCCAGGGGAAGTTGCCGGTGAGCACGCAGAAGATGAGCACGCCGAAGGCCCACACGTCCACGCCCGTGTCCACGGCGAAGCCGTCGGCGCGGCCCGCCTGGCACACCTCGGGCGCCGTGTAGGGGATGGTGCCGCTGACGCGCTTCACGCGGCAGCCCACGCGGCGCGTCATGCCGAAGTCGGCCAGCTTCACGCGGCGGCACTCGCGGTCGAACAGCAGCACGTTCTCGGGCTTGATGTCGCGGTGCACCAGCTGCCGTCCGTGCATGAAGTCCAGCGCCAGGCCCAGCTGCTGCACGCAGCGCTTCACCGTGTCCTCGGGGAGCCCCACCTGGCGGCCGGGCCGGGAGAGGGCGCTCAGGGACGCCCGGTCCCCCGCCCTCGCCCGGGCTCGGGGCTCAACTTCCAGGGCTGCCCTGCACCCACTCCCGGAGCTCTCGTCCCCGCCTCGGCCTGGGCCTCGCCTTCCTCCTGGGGCCCCGGCCCCGGTGCGAGCAGCAGCTGCCCTCCGCCATCCCATCTGCGCAGCTCCGGCTCCCTCGCTAGCGGGGCGCTTTTCATCCCTCACCCTTCTCCCCAGTAACTGCAGGAACCGATGGGCCAGGTGCTGTGTTAAGCGCCCTATCCCGCGCTGTCTCAACTCCTCCCAGCGGCTACTGTTAGACCCATTTCCCGCACAGGGACGTTGCGGCTCTGAGAGGCCTTATCGCTTATCAAGTAAGCGGCAGAGCAGATTCAGGCCTGGCACTGGAACCCCCCTCGCCCACCCCCGCACTCTCCTCACTCCAGGGCACCTCCTCTGGGAAGCCTCTGGTGGCCCTGCCGCCCCCCTCTTCTGCCCCCACCCGTTCCTACGCAGCTGCAGAGGAGGCGCTGTGGGACTTCCTCCTGTCACCCTGGCTGTTTCCTCCCGGGTGCTTATCTCGGTCTATTATCTGGCTTCTGGCATGGCGGGGCGAGAGCAGGACCTGTCTTGTTCACCGTGTATTCCCTCCAAACAGTGACTGGCATACAGTAGGTACTCAGTCAATACTTGTTGATTAAATGAGTGGCCTGACTCACAGTCTAGGGGCCTGGAAAACCATCTCCCCTCCCTCAGCCGCCACCCCAAGTACCTGAGGAGGAATGATGTCAAACAGGTCTCCGGCGGGTGCGTACTCCTGGGCGAAGACGTAGCAGTCCTCGGTCTCAAACACCACGTCGAAGACCTTGATGATGAAGGGGCTGGAGGAGAGGCTGTTGGTGATGCTCACCTCCCGCAGGAAGTTCTTCAGCTTGGTTTTGCTCTTGTTCACGAACTTCAGTGCCATTTTTGTGCCTGACAGGGCAACAGCCAGGGTGGTGAGGACCCCTGCTCCCTGCGCTCCTGCACCTGATACATACCCCTGCCTGTCTGCACAGCCTGTCCTCGCCACAATGGGACCCCCAGTGGGTGCAACTGTCCCCGTCTGACATGTGGGAAACTGAGACCCAGTGAGGGGATGGGACTTGCCAAAGGCCATGCAGCAAGTCAGGGGCCAACCTGAGTCTTCTGCACCCAGCCTGCAGCCCTCAGTGAGGAAGGCCTGCTGCCTTCTCCACCCTCTCCCGTTTTCTTCCGGACACACTCTATGCTTATGTCGCTTGTCTGTCTCCCCAGCTAGAAGGCAGCTCCGGGAGCGCAGGATCCTTTGTCTTGCTCACTGCTGCATCTCCAGTGCCTACAACAGAGTCCAGCGCATGGCAGGTGCTCAACGAGTGTTTGTGAAATGGATGAATGAATCAGACTGAAGTAGACACTGAGAGGTGAGGGTTTGCAAGGAATATGCCCCGAACTCTGTGTGGGCAGGCATCTGTACCCACAGCTAGGTGACGTACAGATGTGTGTGTGTTCACAGAGCACTCACACATAACAGTCCTGCCTTCAGCACTTCACATTCACAACTCACTCCTCATAATGACCCTATCAGGTGGGCACTAATGCTGCCCTATTTTACAGAGGCGGAAACCTAAGGCACAGAGAGGTTGTCACTTACCCCAGGTCACAAAGCAAGCAAGAAGCAAAGCTCAGGTGACCCCATGTCCGGCGCTCCTCCTGCTGCCCTCAGTTGGCACAGAGCCCCCTACCCCAGGTGTGCGCAGCTGCGCCCCTGACTGCTGAGTGGGCACTGCTGGGAGCCTACAGTGTGGGGTTGGCCTGAGGCTCAGGGGTTAAACAAGATTCTGGAGCTGACGACTGGGTGTCGTCCTAGCTCAAACCCTCTGTTGACCTTGGTTCAGTAACTGAATCTCTCTGGGTCTCAGTGTCCTCATCTGAGAAACAGAGATGGCCACAGTGACCTCACAGGGTCACCTCCCACCCCTCCTTAAGCATGGTGCCCTGTTCCCAAGGACCCGGCCTCAGTTCTGCCCATCTCTTTGGGGTCAGCTATTGCCGACATGGCAGTGATTCCCCAAACACCACTGCCAGCTCTGACCTCTCCCCCTGAGCTCCACATGTCCCAGAGTACATCCCCTTGGCTGTCCCAAAACACCTCAGTGGCCCCAAAGCAGCCCACCCTTTAGTCTGGGCACTCTGCCTCACATTCCTCCCTTGTCCCGTCTGCCTGCTGCCCTCCTCCCTGGGGCACGTCAGGCTGCATCCACTCTACCTGGGCCGCTGTCTGCTCCTCCCTGCTCGCCTCCTGGCCCTGGCAGAGAGTGCCCCAGAGCCCCAGCCAAGACCCCACCCCAGCCTTAAAACCAGCGCCCCTGCAGACACTCACCTGTGCCCTTGTAGGCCACTAGGTCGACCTTCCCATAGGTGCCCTTGCCCAGCTCTCGGACGAGTTCATAGTGCTTGGTGACGTCGCTAGCAGCCAGCGTGCGGAGGGTCAGCGCCTGCATGTCTTCAGTGAGAAGGGGCACGCCTGCTCCCAGCCCAGGGGCAGTCCCTGGCCCACAGCAGGGCAGGGAGTGGGGTGGCTCGGGCTCTGGGCAGCCCACACTCATCTTCTCCCTATTGTAGGGGAGTGTGGCATGAAGTGCGACTTTAGGCCAGGGCCCCCTCCTCCCTCCCGGTGCCCAGGATCCCTGGGCTGGGCCCAGATGCCAGCCCCAAGATGACCACGAGGGGGCGACAAGCATCTTTGCTGCATCACCATTTCCCAAAACTTCAGGGCCAGGCTTGAGCCAGCACTCCCTGGACACGGTCACTGCCCCCCATCCTCTGACTTGGGTACTGCCAGCCCATCTCATGCCATCGTCCAGACACAGTGTCAGGCATGATACTGACACAAAGACATGCCATATACTGAGTGCGCGCATTCACAAATATGGATCAGCACGAGCTGTTTGCCAGGTGCTGTTCAGAGCCCTGGGGACACAGCACTGAACAGATGGACAAGAATATCCCTCTCATGGGACCTACGTTATAGAGAGAAGATGGACCTAAGCACAGTGGACACATGAATTATATACTATGATAAAGGTGATATGGGCTATAGAGAAAATAAGGCAGGAGTGGGGGGGTGTCTGAGGCAGGGGTTGCAGTATCAGATACCTCAGCCTTGGGGTCTCAGACAAAACTCTGGCAGGAAGGTGCAGATATGGCCACACACCCACCTCAGCCTTGTAATCCCTCCCCCATGGCAGCTGCTCAGGCACACACAGCTACAGCTGTGCTCCCAGGGCCTGCCCAGTGCCCCGAAACACAGCACCTGTCCCACCCTCCACGTTCCCGGCCTGACTGACCCCTGCAGTGTCCACCCAAGCTGGGGTGGGCTTCCTGGATACACCCACCCCTCAGGGGTACTGAGTTTGTTTCCAGATGGTGTTGGGGGTGCAGAGAGCTGCAGTGGGGAGAGCCAGGCCTGGGTGACAGTGAACGCCCATCTGGGGCCTGCATTTCTGTCTGACACGATGGGGGGCGGGGGGCGGGCTGGGGAGCTGAGCTTCCAGGAGCAGGTGCACACCTGCACACGTCTGTGCATGCACCGCAGGAGAAGCCTCCATAAGCTGCCTCCAGCCCCGGGAAGCCTGCCCCCTGGTGCACCTCCACTGCCCTCACCTCACTGCCTTCTACCTCCAGTCCCAGGCGTACTGCCTGGCACTCAGCATCCCCAGCCTGTCCCTCAGCTCCACCCCTGCCAGACAACCATGGCTTTCTGAGAGCAGCATAGACTTGGAGCCAGATGGCCTGGGTCTGAATCCCAGCACTATGACTTACTAGCTGGAGGTCCCTGGGCAAGTTACTTCATCTCTCTGTGCCTCAGTTTCCTCATCTGTAGAAAAGATATACTGTAATAGTACCTGCTCCCTACGGCTTTGTGAGGATGAAGTGAGTTATAGATGTTAAGTGCTTGGTGGCTGGCACACAGTAAGCACTCTCTGTCAGGCGGGATGTGTTCTCATGGTACCATCTGCGTTCCCTCTTGCTGAGCATGGCTGGAGGCTGGGAGCAGGGGTGAACTCTCTGTGAGCCCAGCTCCCTCACCCTGGCTCAGCTGCTCTCCTTCCAGGCCCAAACTTTCTTCTCCTCCTCTGCCTTCCCCTTCCCTCTCGGCACGACCCAGCCTCCCACTTCACACGGAGAGGAGGAACATCAGGAAGGAACTTCCTGGCCTCCCACCCAGCCCCACAAGGAGCTCCATCTGCACGTCCTCCCAGCTGGCTGGGGAGCTGGGCACCTCCTTCCCTCCCCAGCTTTGGCTCCACCTCTTCTGCTTCCTCAGGATCCTGCTCCCCATTCAGCCCCCTTCCCCTCCATTCATGAACAAGCCCTATTCTGATAGGAACTTCCCCCAAGCTACTGCCTCTCCTCCCCTAGTTTATTCGGTCTGAACGTGTGCCAAGAGTCTGAAATGCCACACGCATGCCCTCAGAGCATCTAGTCTGTAGCCTGGACTAGCCCATTCCACAGACCCCCAGAGGGAGGCATGGTGCCAGGCCACAGAGAACCAGTCCTGCTTCCCCTCCCTTTGCCACCCTCAGTGTGTTGAACCCAACCCTGCCACAGCACCAGTCACCAAGTCTCTATGTGGTCTTTGCTCCACAAGTCTCTTGTGGTCCCGGGCTGGACAGCACTGGGCCCCTCTTTGCCTTGAACTCTTCCCTCTGCCCGCCGGGGGAAGATGCTGGGCTGCTCTCCTGATGTGTGTGGACTCCCTGAAGGCTGCTGAGGTAGGTGGGCCACATGTGTGCAGTGCTCCCGCTTCAGGCTCTGGCCCTGCCACGCCACTTTGGGCTGTTTCTGCATCCTCTGAGAGCTTGAATGGCAGGTGCAAGTTGCTAGAAGTCCTTCTTCCCTCTCCTCCTCCCTCCCCCATGGACTGTTGGGTGCCTGGCCTGTCCCTGCTGCTTTGGCCTCAGAGTTGTCCTGCGCAGGCACTAGGCTGGGTCAGGGGCACAGCCACAGTGGGGCTGGGTTGGGGCCCCACATTTGCTCCTCACCTCCAGCTTCAGCCCGTGCTCTGACCACTGCCCTTCACTGTCTCTCCACAGCTTAATGCCCCCTCTCCAGTCTCCCCCACCATTCCTGCTGCCTGCCTTCACCTCCCCCGTCCCATACCCCATCGCCTGTGTCTCATTATCCTCAGGTTCCACTCCTCCAGGAAGCCTTCCCTGTTGCCCCAGGCACCAATTCCTTTTTCTGTGGGGTCCCAGGATTCAAACAAGGTCTGTCTGTCTCTCTCTTAGGGCCTCTGTTGAATATCTTGGGGTGGTCTCAGCTGTGTCCCTGTCTGTCCCCATCAACAGGCCAAGAACTCCCCTGGGGTTGGGGCTACATCAAATATTCTCCCTCATCCCTTCCCTTGGTTCCTAGGGTCCAGTTTTGGGGTCCTCCCTATCACCCCCTCCCTCCTTCCCAGCTTCCCTCTCCCTTCAGGCCTGTTCTCTGCCAGGTGTCAGCAGGAGACAAGGAATTAATCTGCATGCCCATCTCCGCTGCTGTGTCCCCCCCCCCAGGTACACACTGCCTCTGACCCAGTTACAACGCATGTGACTTAAGAGTGCAGGGGGGAGTGATGGAAATGGCACAGGCCTGGGGCTCCGCAGGCTTGGCCTTCATCCTGACGGGCACCACTTTTTAGCTGAGTGACCTTGAGCAAGTCACATGACTTCCCTGGGCCTCAGCTTCCACATCCATATGATGAAGAAAGTAATAATAGTAAAAATAATAGCAGCAGCAGCAGCAGCTAACCCTTAAATTGTCCTTACGACGTGCCAGGCCCATTCTAAGGGTGAAGCAGCTCACCCTCGCGACTCTCTGAGATGGCACGATTCTTATCCCCACTTTAGGGGTGAGGAGAGTGAGGCACGGGACTAAATAACTCGCCCAAGGTCACACAGCTAGTGCTGGGACTGGCTCCAAAGCTGTGCTCTTAACCACTGTGTTTTCCCAAGTCAGAATGCTGGAACATCTCATCCAGATTCCTCAGTATCCAAGTGGGGAAACTGAGGCCCAGCAGAGGGCAGAGCGTCCACCAAGCATGCGCATGCCTTCATTCAGCTCCTGTGGATAGCTGACTGGATGCCAGGCACAGGTCCGGGCGCTTCACACGTAGAACTTGCTGAATCCTCCGTGCAGTGGGGACGCCAGCTTCTTTGTTCAGGTGAGGGCTCGAGCCCAGAGTGAAGTAAGACACATCTGACCACTGAGGGGCTGAAGGTATTTACATCTGGCATCAGTGGGAACTTGATCACTCTCGTCATTGCTTCCACTTGAAGGAGCAGCTGTGGACTTGATGGCTGTGAGCTTCCCAGCGCCAGGTGGTGGGGGCCCCTGGCTGACCTCCATTCACCCCACGTAGTTGTACTGCATCTGTCCACACTCAGGCTGACTGTGCTGCCCCAGGGGACCCACATGACTTGCACCTCAGCTGTGTGTCCTCACTGGCCCCGAGGGAGGCCCTTGATTTCCCATCTGTGATGCTGAAGGCAGAAGGGTGTCACCTAGTCTTTGTGGCAGCCCTCATGGTTCTGACCACAAAGGCTCTGGCCTGTGGGCTGGGAGGGCCACAGTGTTCGGGGGAGGGTTTCCCAAGCAAGAAGAAAGACTGAACCACCCACCACTTCCTGTTGGCAGGTGGCTTGAGCTGGGTACCACCCTTATGAAAACTACCCAGTGCCACACACACACACAATGCCAGCTTGGCAAAATTTCACTCACTGAGTCCTCACAAGTACCCTGAGAAGGGGATAAGATGCTTCCTGTTTTTTGAAAGACAGCTGAACTGAGGTATAACTTACATACCACAAAACTCACCCTCAGTAAGTGTATAATTCAATGATTGTAGTGAATGTATGGAGGTGTGCAACCAGTGCCACAGTTGAGTGGAGCTTCCTGTTTTACAGATGAAGGACAGAGGCCCAGGAGGTAGATGGCTTACTATGATTGTGGCACAGAGAGCCAAATGCCCACCAAAAAGCTGTTTCCTCCTCTAGTACAGAGCTGTTGCTGGAGGGCAGCTGTCAGCAAGCAATTTCTGCCTCCCTTGCATCCAGGGATGGCCGTGTGACCAGCCTCCCCAGTGGAATATGAGCAGAAAGGAGGGGTGTCACTGCTAGGCGGGGGCTTTTAAGAATGAGGAGAGTTTCTCTCCACTCTCTTCTGTGTGCTGGCTTGATGTGGAGGACTCAGAGAGCCTAGAAGAGTGGGGAGCTCCCAGATAGGAGGAGCCTGTGTCTTGTGGGTGTGGGATGCCTCCCACTGGTGAGGGTTACCCGCTCTGCATTTCATGGGAAGCTGAAGGAAACATCTGTTGGGTTAGGGTTCTCAGATATAGGGGCCTATTTGTTATAGCAGCCAGTACCACCCTAACTCAAGGGCTTTGTAGCAAGTAGGCCAGAGAGCTAAGATTTGAACCTCGGTGTATCCAGCTGCCTGGAGTGTGGCCAGAGAAGGTGACCTGGATGGTGATAATACTGGCAACCAAGTGACAAGAGTCCAGTTATAGGAGTAGGTGGAGGGTGACCAGCCTGTAATGAGAAGGGGACCTGCTCTCCTCCTGTCTTGTTGGAGAATAATAATGCTGGCAACTGTTTATTGAGCATTTAGCATTCAGCTGTGTCAACATTGTGGACTAAATCATTTAACAATCACAACAAGTTTGGGAGCTGGGTGCTACGATTATTGTCCTCATTTTACAGAAAGGGATACTGAGGCACAGATGGGCTGAGTAACTTGCCTAAGAGCTAATAATTAGCAGAGCTGGGATTTGAACTCAGGCTATCAGGCTCCAGAGCCCATGCTCTTATGCACTGTGTCCTGCGCGGCTCCTGGAGGCAGATGCAGGCAGAGAGCAATTCAGAAAGAGAGCATTCTCACAGTCGCAGCAGGGAGCAAGCACCTTCCTGTGACGGGGGTAGGGAAGCAGAGACTCCAAGCCCATCTGTTGGGGAATCAGTGCAGGGCAAGGTGAGACCAAGTCAGCCAAGGCTTTCTTATTCTCACTCTGGGATTCTAAGGTTCTCTGTCCCCATGCCCCAGTCCCCTCCCTCAGGTCACTGGACCCATGCCATGCCCTTAGCATGGGCAAATCCCAAGAGTAACCTTAACAAAACCCTGGACTTGTGCTTCTGCTACCAGAAAAGAGGTACCTTCTGACCCTGGGCTGCAAAGCTGGAGGACACAGGCCTGGAGCTGCTGCATGCGGGTTCTGCCACCATCAGGGGAGAGCCTGCTGGGAATGAGGCGACAGGGAGATAAGCAGTGCTAGGAGATGGAGCGATTTCAGAAGACTCTGAGCACCTGGATCCAAGCATGCCTCAAGCCAATTATACTCCTGAATGATTGTTTCATGAATCAATACATTTTCTTTTCGGCTTAAGCTGGTTTGAGTTGAGTTTATGTAACTTGCAACCTAAAGATTCCAGACAAGCATATTGACTCGAGTCCAGGCACTGTGCTGGGTGCTGGCATGGGGCAAGCTGGTTAGAACGATGCATCAGATAGAGGGTATGAGCCTACAAGTTAGGGAGGCAGAGAAAATAAGGACTCAGATAACCATGAGGACAGGAAGGCAATAATCAGTACTCCAGCATTTCCTAGGAGGGCACTGACAGTGGGGATCAGGGTGGCTTCCTAGAGGAGGTGACACCTGAGTGAGCCTTGAAGGGGATCAGCAATCCAGCAAGAAACCCAAGAGCTCCTTGAAAGCAAGCCCCATGCCTTAATCATCTTGCTATTCCTAGCACTTAGCCAGGGTGTGACAAATGGTGGGTGAATGATTCTTTACGTATTTGGGAAGTTGTACCTTTTTATATCTTGGCTTTCCTGAATGTGACCCTGCAGGCACATAGCTATTTTCCTAGGGGCCTGTGTGCTTTATCATTAGCCCCATTTTATAGATGCAGAGGCTGATGGCCAGAAGAGAACAGCAATTGTTTAAAATCACATAAGAAGTCAGTGGCAGGGCTGGGCTGGAAGCCAGGGTGTCTGCAGGACAAGGTGCTATCCCTCTTCAACTGCCCTGGCCCCAAGCACAGCAGAGATGGCAGTGGCTATGAGTGACACTGGTCACTGTGAACAGAGAGGGTAGGGTTCTGTGATGAGAATGATGACAAAAACAGCTAACGCTTAGGGCACCCCTGTCATGTGCTGAGTGCCTCATAGAAGTTAACTCATCTAGTCCTCACAAACTCCTACAACATAAGGACTATTATTCACCTCAATTTACAGGTGAGGAAACTGAGACACAGAGCAGTTGTGTTACTTGATAAAGACCATCCAGTAAGTGCCAGAGCCAGGATTCATATCCAGGCATTATCACTCCAGTGTCCAAAAGCTTAACTACCATGCTTTACTGTCTCTAAAGTGATATAGTAAAAATTATCACTTATTTTCTCAATATGCCAATGCTTTACCTTGCTGCTGCCATTCAATCTTCATAGCAACCCCATTTTAAGATAAGGATGCGGAGGCTCAGGGGGTTAAGCAACTTGCTCAAGTTCACTCAGCTGGTGAGGGGCAGAGCCAGGGACTGAACCTTGAACTTCCCCTGCTCTATCACCCCTTCTCTCCTCTTGGTCTCTGGTTTGCAGCCCAGGCCTCCTCTGGCCCCATTGTCTTCAGCACCACAGGCGTGGACAGCACCCAGGCCAGCCCAGCACTAAGTGCAGGCTAGGGGACGCCTGAGGAGGCTGGGCAGCCAGGATGCAGGAGCCGCCGCAGAGCTGGAACCCAGGCACCCAGGGCTGGAAAGGTACATATGGATATACTGCCATTTATTTAACTAAACCCCTATAGTAGACACTTGGGTTGTGTCCAGCCTTTTGCTCCTCTCTACAATGAGTAGCCTTGTATATAAGTCATTTTACAGTGTGTAGGTGTGTCTGTATGGTCAGTTCTAGAAGGGCTGCCAGGTTAAAGGGTGAGTGCATTTGGAATTTCTGCAGTTTTGATGTCCCCCAGAGGGCTGTGCCACTGGCCCTCCCCCAGCCACACAGGAGAGGGCTGCTTCTTGGTGGAACTCAGCAGCTGCCTCCAGCTCCCTTGTCTTTTGTGGGCCTCCGTATCACTTTGTTTAGTAAGCTACTTTGAAATGGGGGAAAATAAGAATAGGTTTCTCATTTGCTTGTATTTGCATAAAGTAACTCTGGAATCAACACCAGACATTAATAAAGGTGCCTGACTACCCTCAACATTCACTCCTACTGGTCTGAGCCATCATCATTTCCCAGCTACTGCAGTAACTTCCTAACTGGTCCCCCGTCCCTCCCCAACAATCTATTCTTGACACAGTGGCCAGGGAGCTCTCAAAACCCAACTGGATCAGTTACTCCCAAGCTTAGCACCCTCCACTGGCTCCCATCTCATTCCAAAGTCCTTAACAGCCCTCAATTAACCCCCAAGACCTGTCTCCTCCCTCCTTCTGCTCCAGACACACTGGTCTCCCTGCTGTTCCCAGAACAGGCCAGCTCCCTGCCTGGGGGCTGTTCCCTCTGCCCCCAGATATCCACATGGCTCCAAGTTCTGCTCAAATGACACCTTCTCAACTAGGACTACCCTTCTGCACTCCCCACTCTATTTTGTTTCCCAGTAGTGTGTATCACTTTCTGACACATTATATAATTCACTGACTTGTGATATCTATTGTGTCTGTCTCTCTTCCCCACTAGAACTTAAGCACCAGGAAGGCAGGGACTTTGTCAGGCTGGTCTTGTTCACTGCTCTATCCCCAACAACTGGCACAGTGCCTGGAACACAGTAGGCACTTAATAAATATTTGGTGAATGAATGAACAAATGAATGTCTAGGGAGAGGAGTGAGAACTGAGGAACAGAGGCAGGGCAGGAATTAAACTTTTCACTAGGTACAATCCTGTTAGGTCTGGGGAGTAAAAGGAACCAGGTGTGTGTTGGGGGTCCAGACAATGCCAAGGAAATTGTGAAGGGAGGTCATGCCCACCCACCAAGTGTCAGCACCCCGGGGGCCAGAGGAGGAGTGGCCCAGCTTGGTTGCTGTGAATTCTCACAGCAGGCCAGCCCATGCTCGGGAAGGTGGGGGCATCTGGGAGCCTCCTTTACACCCATCCCTGAAGGAGCCCTCCCTTTATGTCCCCAAGGCAGGTGCCCCAGTCTGGCTCTCTGCTGCTCAATGCCTTCCCTGAAAGGTGTTCCTGACCCTCACATTTGTTTACCCCAGTGCAGAAGCCTTTTCACATGTGGGCTCTCCTATTTGTTGCCAGGGAGTGGGGGACTCAGAACTGGGCCCTCTGACCCCAGAAAGAGGCCTGTGAGGTACTTGGAAAAGCTCTGGCCTCTGCTGCTGGTCCCCAGGGACCCCTGGCCAGCACCTCCCCCCACCCCCACACCGCTTCAGTTTTCTAATCTATGAAATGAGCTATCCAGTGGTTCTTATCCCTTCATGGGTCACTGAAGCCTCACTATCCTCTTCCCTGAAAAATGTCCCTAGGCACCACTTCTATATACAACATCAGTGGGTCAGGGCCTGGGGAGCCCAGAAGAGACTCCAGATAAGGTCTCTCCTTCCCCCTGGTCCTTTGACACAAATACAGACTCTACCAAACATTCTATTCTGGTTCAAGAGGAGGAGGAGAATATTCTCACATCTCTTCCTTGTCTTCCCCTTATGGTGCAAATTCCGGCTCCATCCCTTCTTGCTGTGTGCCCTTGGGCAGCCTAAGCCTCGGTTTGCCCATCAATAAAATGGGGCTGAGAATGCCCACTTAAGATGGTGGGATTCTGTAAGAATTAAACGGTCACTTCTTAAAGTATCTGGCACAGAGCAGACGCTCAGTAAGGATTTGCTGGACAGAGGGGCCTGGAACCATGGTTCCGTCGTGGACTCTGCACCATCTTGGTAAAGCTGTACTCTCACTGTGCCTTGGTTTTCTATGCCGGAAGTGGGGGTTCTGCTGTCTCTGCTACATTCTCACCCCTTGAACCTGCTTGAGACAGGGGTCTTTGGAGATCCTCTGATCCAGCTCCCAGATTTCCCAGGTGAGGAGACTGAAAGGAAGAGCTGGGACTTTTCCACACTCAAGCAGCAGGAACTGGAAACAACATACTTCCCACTGCCCTCCCCACCAGGGGCAGCCTGGGGTTCCCCTTGCTGCTAGGCTCCCCTTCTGGCTCTGGCGCCTGCCTCGGCCTCCCCTTCCAGTTGGCACAGTCTGCCCCTTGCCCGGGGCACATCCTTGGTAGTTATTAATAGGCTGTGACGCTGTCTGCCTGCAGCTGGTGCCCGGAGCTGGCACAGGCTCTCCAGCCTCTTTTTGCCATCCCCAGCCAGGCCCTGTGGGGAGGTGGGAGCCCTGGGCCTCATTCTTCCCTGCCTATTGGTGGGCCCAGTGCCTGGGGCAGCCCCTGTGGGCTGAGAGGAGGCATGAGCCTGGTTGCCTGGGTAAGGCGGGTAGCCCAGCACTCAGGGGTATCAACAGGAGTGGAGGGCGGGGAGCACGGTGGCTACCCACCACTGGCTGAGTGGGCCAGGCATCTTGGCTGGGCGTCCACCAGTAGACAGGTGGTGGCCACGGGAGAGGTGAGACCTTCTCTAGCTCCAGCCCTCACCTCTTCCCAGAGGGATGAACAGGGAGTGTAGCCCATCTTAGGAGCCTGGAGCTGATTCAATACCATTTCTAGACAGGAAGCTTTGGGTAAGTCACTCTCTCTGTGCCTCCATCTCCTCGTCAGCAAAGTGGGGATCATAATGTGCAGGTATTGTGTTTTGTTTTTTTTTAAAAGATTGGCACCCAAGCTAACTACTCTTGCCAATCTCTTTCCCCCCCCCCCTGGTTTTTCTCCCCAAGCCCCCCAGTATATAGTTGCATAGTTTTTTAGTTGTGGCTCCTTCTAGTTGTGGCATGTGGGACGCTGCTTCAGCATGGCCTGATGAGCAGTGCCATGTCCGGGCCCAGGATCCGAACCAGTGAAACCCTGGACCACCGAAACAGAGCGCACGAACTTAACCACTCAGCCAGGGGGCGGGCCCCTAAAGTATTGTTAATAATATCCAACATGGATGAACCATTTAAAGTATAAGTAATTTATATATATTGACTCCTTTAAACCTCACAACCATCTTAGGAGAAGCTGCTATTACTACTCCCATTATATTCCTTACAGGTCAGGAAACTGAGACTCAGAGAAGGAAAGATTAAGTGACATGTCCAGTGTCACACAGCTGGGAAGTGGCTTAGAGATACCTGTCTGGCTC